AAATAACCAAATAGAAATTCTAGTGATAGAAATTAAAATAACTGAAATTTTAAAATCACTACTGAGATTCAACAAAGAATCTAAGCAGGAAGACAAAATCAGAAAACTTAAAGATAGGTCAGGTGAGATTGTTCCTCCCAGTCTAAAGAAAAGAAAGAAAAAGAACAAAGTCCCAGAGATCTGTGGGACACAATACCAATATACATACCAAAATACTTATAATGAGAGTCACAGAAAGAGAGGAAGGAGGAAAGAGGGGAAGAAAGAATAACTGATGAACCTAAAAAATTGCCCAAATTTGACTGAAACATCAATCTATATATCCAAAAAGCTTAACAAACTCCCAGTAGGATAAACTTAACAAGATCTTAGAAAACCACATACCTCATAATCAAACAGTCAAAAGACAAAAACAAAGACAGAATTGTGAAAGTAGAAAGCAAGAAGAAACTCACTGTATTCAAGAGATCTCCAATGAGAGTAATAGCTAAATTTTGATCATGAAAGTCTGAAGGCAGACTGTGGTATGTCATACTCAAAGTGATGAAAGAAAGACTGTCAATTAATAACAATTAATAATTAAAATTAATAATTTTCTTGAAGGAAAAATTAAGACATTCTAAGGTAAATGAAAACAAAGAATCCCTTATTTGCAGACCTGTCCTATAAGAACACTAATGAGAGTCTTTGGGCAGAAATGAAACAATGCTAGACAGTAACTCAAATTCTCACATAGTAAGAAAGAGCACTGATAAAGGTAACTACACAGTTAAATACAATATACAATATAGATATACTGTTGTTTGTTTATAACTCTTTTTCTCATATCTGATATAAAAGGTAACTACATAAAGCAGTAATTATATATCTGTATTAATTGGCATGTAATATGTAAAGATTTAATTTGTATGACAATAATAGTACATTTGAAAGGGAGTATAGCTATATAGAAATAAAATTTTGTCTACTATTGAAATTAAATTACTATTGATACAAATTATATTGTTAAGATATTAATTATCATCCTAGGGCAACTACTAAGAAAGTAACCTCCACAAAATGTAAAATAATGACAAAGGAACTAAAATGATAAACCTGAAAACAGAGGAATAGAGAAACTGAAAAACAAAAAGACAAAATACACACACACAAAAACAGCAAAATAACAAATATAAATTCTATCTCATCAGTAATTACATTAAATATAAATGGATTAAAAACTCCAATCAAAAGGTAGACTTTGACAGTGCATTTTACAAGGGTACATGTTAAATCTACTAAGGGTAGAATATAAATATCTTAACATATTAACTAAGAAAATGCAGTGAAGGCTATGTTAATCAGTTTGATGAAAGTATTTCAAATTGTTTATAAATGCAACCCAATTCACAACTGCTAGGACATGGAAGAAGCCCAAGTGCCCATCTACCCATGAATGGATCAATAAATTGTGGTATACGTATACCATGGAATACTATGCAGCCATAAAGAAAGTTGGAGACTTTACTTCCTTCATGTTTACATGGATGGAGCTGGAAAATATTCTTCTTAGCAAAGTATCTCAAGAATGGAAGAAAAAGTATCCAATGTACTCAACCCTACTATGAAACTGATAGTTAGCTATCACAGGAAAGCTATAACCCAAGTTAAACCCAAGAATACAGGGAAAGGGGAGAGGGAGGGAAGGGGAGAGGGGAGGATGGGTCAAGGAAGGGGTAATGTTGGGATCATGCCTATGATCTATCCTACAAGGGTACATGTGAATCTCTCTAAATGTGGAATATAAATGTCTTAACACAATGACTATGACAATGACATGAAGGCTATGTTGGCCAATTGAATGAGAATGTTTCAAATTGTATATGGAACCAACACACTGTACCCCATGATAGTATTAATGTGCACAACTATGATTTAATAAAAAAAAATTATTTATAAAACCAGCACATTGTACCCCATAATTGCATTAATGTACACAGCCATGATTTAATAAAAAAAAAATTTGAAAAGGTAGATATTAACAGAATTATGAAAAAGCCAAACACATATAGAAAACTATATGCTATCTACACAAGACACATTTTATACTCAAAGAGACAGATAGGTTGAAAGTAGAAAGTGGAAAAAGAGATACCAAGCAAACAATAACCAAATGAGAGCTACAGTGGCTACGTTAATAGCAGATAAAATGCACTTTAATTTATTTTATTATTATTTTTTTTTAGAGACAGAGTCTTACTTTGTTGCCCTTGGTAGAGTGCTGTGGCGTCACAGCTCACAGCAACCTCCAACTGTTAGGCTTGGGCAATTCTCTTTCCTTAGCCTCCTAAGTAACTGAGACCACAAGTGTCCACCACAATGCCCGGCTATTTTTTGTTGCAGTTTGGGTGGGGCCAGGTTTGATTCTGCCACCGTCAGTATATGGGGCTGGCGCCCTACTCACTGAGCCACAGATGCCACCCATAAAATGCACTTTAAAACAAAAATTGTTACTAGAAACAAAGAAAGACATCTTATAATGATAAAAGTATAAATCATCAAGAAGCCATAGCTAAAAGTTATCAACATAAGTGCACCAAAAGAAAGAGCCACAAAATACATAAAGGAAAAAACTAGCACAAGTGAAGGAAGACATAGTTCATCAATAATAGGTAGAGACTTCAATACCCCATTTTTAATAAAATAATAACCAAGAATAAAATAAAAGGTCTGAACATTATAAACTAGCTAGACCTTGCAAATATCTGTAGAGTGCTGTGTTCAACAACAGCAGACCATACATTTTTATAAAATCCAAATGACCATTCTTGAGAATATACTACATATCAGACCATAAAGTAAGAATTAATAAACTTATGATACAAAGTATGTTCTCCAACCATAATCAAATGAAATCAAAAATCAATAACAGAAAGAAATTTGGTAAAATCATGAATATATTAAGTAAAACATTCCTAAGTAACCAAAGTTGATGTCACTGCTTTTTTACCAAAACTGTAAATAGAAGGAAAACCAGGGCTTCAATCAGATATTTTAAATCACATAATGATTCTAGGGACACAAGAGGGTACATGAAAATACATGTTTGTCCACCCCAATACAATATATCCCTATATACCATATTCTAAACTGGAGTTGCATTAGGTCCTGGTTTGAGTCTACAACTCCTTCTTTTCTCTAGTTTAATTTTTATACCACCAAATAAAAATACACAAAGTGAAATTATCCATTTGGGCAAGAATTCACCCTCTTCTTTCAAAGCATCAGTGATTTTCAGAACAGCTAAAGCCTCAGGATAGATCACCATGCAAACACTACAGGTAGTTTTCAGGGTGCTTAAGTTTGAAAATTAATTACACAGGGGTACAAAAACAAATAGGAAGGCTGGGTGTGATGGCTCATGCCTGTAATCCTAGCAATTTGGAAGACCAAAGTGGGATGATCACTTGAGGTCAAGAGTTCAAGACCAGCCATCTCTACCAAAAAAATAGAAAAATTAGCTGGGCATGGTAGTATGCACCTGTAGTCCCAGCTACTTAGTAGGATAAGGCAAGAGAATTGCTTGAGCCCAGAAGTTTGAGGCTTTCATGAGCTATGATTGCACCACTGCTCGCTGGGTGACAGAGCAAGACCTTGTCTCAATCAATCATTTAAGCAATAAAAATAAAAGACATAGTCCATGAAGCTTAGATATGTCTATTTTCTCAGATCACAATTATTCTTACATTTATTTATATAGGTTTTAACTATTTTTTTTGTTATTTTTCTTTCAGCATCTTAAACATCAAAGATTTAACATTAATGAGAGTTTGTGTTACTGTAAAAATACACTGAAACTCTTGAAACTAATTCTCTCTAATCTTAAGGGTTACATGCTTACCTTGAGGATCAACTTCTTTAGCTAGCTTCAGTGCATCTGAGTTTGCAAGATCAGTGTTGGCAGGGGTAACGGCCAAAATCAAACAGTTCTCCCTCGTGATGAACTGCATAATCATTTCTCTGATCTGATACTCAATATCTGGTGGCTGATCTCCCACGGGCACTTTAGTTATTCCAGGCAGGTCGATAAGGGTTAGATTCAACACTGTGTGGAAAGGGAGAGTCTTACATCTACCTTCAATACTAAAAGGTAACGATACAGAATCATTAGTCATTTAGCTCAGCTTTCTACACTGTGTATCTGAACAACTCCACCCCAAGTGTGTTAGAATCAAAAGCATAGAATGCAAAATGATTTTGTTAGTTTTTTTCTATTTTTATGATATGATTATGCTATGCCAAACGATCACTTCAACATAATTTGAAAGGCACTTATTTGCATGCCTAACAGTTTGCTTAGAGAGCTGTCATATCTGTAACTAGGGAGTTATAATTAAAACGCTGAACAGCAAATGCATATGCTATCTGCCTTGTACATCACCTTCAAATGGAATGAAAAGTCTTAGGGCAAGATTTGCCCTTCCCTTAAAAAGTACCATATGCCATTATAGAAGGTTAGCCACTTAGCCTAGTCGAAAGCTATTAGCCATTGGTGGTGTCCTGAGTTTACTGAGCAGGCTATACAAGCAGAGTCAGTGACAACATGAGTACAGTCTAACCTCTCTCGGTATACAACAGTGTTGGCACCAAGTCCCCTTGAGAAGTCATCATTGAGCTCACATCATGTATGCTCCGTCCCAAAAGCAACAGAACTAAGGAGACCAGGGATGAGAAACGAAAATCTGCCCCACTAAAAATTTAGTCAGAATAGAGGCTGTTTCCCATTATGTACCATGAATTGGTTATCTCATTGAGAAGTTTCTGTTGCTGGTCGGTCAGTAAAATATCACGGTTTGTTTCCTCAGGAAGAAAATAAATAGGAATATATAGGGCTGCAAGGAAACCAGACAGAGGAAGACTAAACTAGAGTACCATGTAGCAAGATTGCTAAAAAGACTAAAGATAATAAAAATGCAAGTTTTCATAGACACCCCTCTCAAATTCTGAAAGTTTATGGTCAAAATAAAGGAAATTTTTTAAACAACTAACTCAATGTTGATTTTTTTTTT